GCGAGGGGCTCCGGCCGGGACAGGGCGGCCTCCTCCATTCCTTCAGACAGATCGACCCAAGCGGCCGGCGAATGGAAGAAGCGGGAACGAGAAAAGGGAAATGTGACAGGTATGCGTTGGTTGGGGTCCTTCTAGTTAAAGTGACACAAGAACAAGCGACAAATTAATAAACGAGGGGAGGAAAGCAAAGCCGTTGGTCCCGTGAAAAGATAAATGGATATATATTTATGTGCAAATTACTCTAAATGCCTAATGATGATGAAAGTTAGCACCTTTGTCAGAGAGAAATAAAAAAAAAATTAGTATGTCAGTTTCCCTTCAAAAAAAAGGGCTAAAGATCAAGTACTATTGCCCCACTTCCTTGCTGTGTGTTGGTTACCAAAAAAAAAAAGAAAGGATAATTTTAGAAACTCATGCCTGTAGATGAAGAATACTAATCATCATTCTCACGTGGAGGAATAATAAAAATTACATGATGATGAAGGTGCACATCAAAACATGAACAAAGGATAACAAGCGGATCCATATTAGCACCGCTTCGACTTTTTAGCCGTTCAGGGCAGCGTTTCCTTGAAGCATTTTTTGCCACGCACAAACACAAACATTAAACCCAAGCCTTTTTTCTATGCAGATATTAAAATTTACTCAAAGTCAGGCTTAAACAAACTGAGAGTCAATTAGTGGTTACTTTAGGGTATTTAACGTGTTCGATCATCCATGTGCGCTTCGATTGTCTCCGATATCTTGCTCCATTTGGATTAGTTAGCATTTTTTGTTGTACAACTTATCAAATTCAGTTTGAAATAGTTCATACGAACGAGTACCAAAAAAACAAACCTGACGCGGGTCCGAATCATAATATAGGAAATCGAAATATGTACCGATAAAGTGCCACATGATAGAATTGGTGCCGCGGGAGCGTCCTACCGCATCCGCGGTGAGGGCGTAGAAAGGAAGGACTCCCCTCATCACTGCTTTAACATTTCATCGAGTCTTGTACCTCCCCATAACTTGTGAGTGTATGGGGAAAGGGAGTGAAAGAACACGAGAAAAGGCCTGAGTGACGGTGCCCATTCACGATTCCATCGGGAAACTAAGCGCCTGATTAATACAAGGAGAGATCGAATGCGAATCACGACTATTCTTTAGAGCTGAGTTGTTCCATTGTTTTTAGCATTTCACGCACCCTATATTGTCCCGCTGAGCTATTCCATACAGGAATCCAAACAAGGCGAAGAACTTGAAATGGTCAAAGCAAAAAAAACATGTGGAGAACAATAGATGAACGGATAGGGGAAAATATTGAAGAAAAGCATCAGGTGCACATCATCAAAAGAATCTATTGTCTTATGAATAGGCAAATAGTTTATGCATTAATCGTGCATTCTGGTAAAAGACAATAAATCATAATGGGTAAAAAGATACAGCTATGATTCTTTCATGGCAGAAAAGGCTACGCTAGCGTATGACATGGTGGTGTGGAATTTCTTTTATTCTATGGTGTACTCCCTCTATCGTTTAACGCAGGAATAATAAAAAAGGTATCCTTCCATTAACGTAATGGGGTTCATCTGGAATGAACTTTTCGTAAATAAATAAAGTTCGCTTGTTTCTATGAAGAAAACTATTTCTGGACAGATCGATAAACGCATAAGCATGTATGCATAATCGAATGAAAAGGATAACCCCATATTCCTAGCAGTAGCTCGTCGTACGGAGTTTCCTCCCTCTTCCCCCCAACCGCACATGCATTAGCGGGATTGCCATTCTCTATGACTCTTATTTCTATATTTTAAACAAAAACAAAAAGCAAAAAAAAAAAAACACGCTTCCAGGTTCTGAAAACCCAGCAACACCACTTTTTCGCTCCCTTTATACAGACGCGCTTGGTGGGTCACGCCTCTGCCTGTTCGTAGCGCACCCGCAGCTGCTCTTTCGCGTAGGCCACGGCCTCCTCCATCACCTCCCCGGCGGCCCCCCAACCGCTGGTGGGGGAGGCCTTTTGCAGGGCCGCCTCGAGGCTGCCGCGCACCACCCGCCACCGCAGCCGCGCGATCTCCGCCTTCCGAAGCCCCCCGATAAGCGGACAAAGCGCCGCATCCACCACCGCGCGTATCGCCGTCGAAACTGACGACGACGACGGCGAAGGCGAGGAAGAAGGAGGGGGCAACCCCCCTCGTGAATTCCGTGGGCGCTTCCTCGCGCTCCCCCCTACCCCTCCCGACGCACTCGTCGTCGCCGCCGGGGGGAGAGAGGGGGGGAGGATACCTGCCGGTGGAGGCGCACCCCCGACCGCCCTTTGGTTTTGCTTTTCAGCCGCTGCCTCCTCCTCCTCTTCTTCCTTTGGGTTCACTTCCTCCTTTTCCTTTTCCTTTTCGGCCTCCCGGAGCTCCCGGGGGGCGGACTCCCGTGGGGTGGGGTGGCGGCTTCCGCTCCGTTCGCGCCCGCCCCCCCCTGCGGTGGGGGGCGCCTTAAACGGCGCGGAGGCGAAGACGTGCACCTTCGAATCGAGAAAAACCGTCGTCGAGGCGCCCCCCGCACCCCCTTCTGCTCGATTCCCGGGTTTCACGAAGAAACTCGGCAACAGAACGGCCCCTGGATAGCGTTGAAGGGCCTCCGTCGGGATCTGCCGTTGCCCCAGGCAGGCGAACATCACTTTACTGCCGAGATCGCACAGCATCCGCGTGGCGACGCTCCCACCCCCCTCCCGATCGAGCGCATCCTCGGCTTCCTTCATCCGCTCGAGAAGCTCCACGACGAAGCTTGCGCCCTGCGTGCTGGTTCGAAACAGCGCCTCAAAAAGCAGATGCCAGGCGCGTTGGAATCCGATAAAGTGGTTCGCGCGTTCGTGCTCAAAAAACGGATGATGCGCCATAAAGAGCACCAAAAACGGAATGCTATATTCGAGATAGCGCGTCAGGGCGACGGGGCTGGAAAGGGGAATCGGCTGCGCCGCCTGCAGCTGCTGAAGGTGGGCGGCGACGCCGTAGAGCAGCTCCCGTAGCGCGGCGTACGACGCCTTGCCCTCCTCGCTCACCGCCGTCAGAATCAGAAACGCGGCGTAGCGCATATCGCACCCGGGGTGGCGAATCAAATGCGCCGCGAGCTTTCGCTGCAACGGCTGCCGCACGGCGGGGTCGCGCTCGGCGGAGAAGATCGCCGCCGTCGCGAGCTCCTTCCCGATCTCCGCGCTCGGATAGACGAGGAGTTTGGCGAGTTGCTTGCAGATCGCG